CTTAGCCTCCCACCCAAGTAGCTAGGACTACAGGCACACACCACCATGGCTGGCCAATTTTTTAATTTTTTATAGAGATGGGGTCTCACTATTTTGCCCAGGCTGATCTGGAACTCCTGGCCTCAAGCAATCCTCTCACCTTGGCCTTCCAAAGCACTGGGATGACAGGTGTGAGCCACTGCCTAATTTTTATTTTTTAACTATAGATTAGAAAGAAATGGAAAAATATTCAAAGAAGTAGTAAAGGGACAGAGAAAATAAAGAATATGTTTCTTAAAATATTTAAAACCTTTTATATTTATAATTTATCCTCAAATTTCATTTTAAAGAATATAATGTTTGGCAAGGCCTTTTTCCCCCTTGGGGAAGAAAGATCTTTGTCCCTGAGGTCGTCATCACATTCTAAAAATGTTTCTAGGGCCGTCATTTTCTGCCATGTAGCTGCGTAAGACTACATTTTCTGTACTCTCCAAGTTCACTTCTCTCACCCCTTCCTTTCTGTGATCGAGCCCCTTCACAATCTGGCAAAAAGTTGGAGTTATTCCCGTTCTTCAGAATTTAGCAGGAGCCTGTAGGGCCTAGAGCAACATCTGGGCTCTCTTGTTTTGAGGACTTGTAACCAAATGTGTGACCCTTATAAAATGTGAGTGAGGATGAAGATGGAGCAAAGGGGAGGCAGATGTGGATGAAATGTGTACTGTCCTAAGTGTTCTAAGGCTTGGACTTTCCCCCAAAAATGGAGACTCCTTTTAACATGTGAATCTAGAAATGGAAAGAGGTACTTGCGTGCCAAAGTTCAGAAAAATGGAATGTCCAGCATAGGCCAGGTGGACTCTGCAGTGACACTAGGGGATGGGGCTGCCTGAGGACGCTGGAGGGGATGGACAGTAAGCCGACCCAACAGTGTCTGGAATGTGGATAACATGCAGTGTGTTTTCGTTCAGTGATAAGAAAGAGGAGAGGGAGGCAGGCTGGGAGCTCAGGACGGGGAAGGATCGATCTGCTGTGTGCTGTGGACATGAGCCAACTTGCTGCAAGTTGAGTCCTTTCCTGGAGAGCATTTTTTACCAGAAGTAGGTGGACAAGCACCCTGGGCCTGGTCAGAAAACATTTCCCCAGGGTGAGGAATCGGTGCTCTCAGGCTAGGTCTGAGTGTAGAATGACAAAAGATTAGCAAGAAGTATGAATCTAGTTAAGTGACAAGAGGAACACTCAGCTTGGAAAAGGAAACAACCCAGGTTTGTGATGTGTCACCCCACGCCAAACTGAGCACCTTGATGTTTATCTGTACACAGTTGGTTTGTACTCTTAAGATTTCTTTACGTTCTAGTAAAGATTAACCTTGCCCTTGAATCAACTCGGTTCGAGCTGTAGAAACAAGCATTTGGGCATGCCCGGGATTATAAAATGGAAACAAGCCCAGTGAACCCTGAAAATCCACCCTATTCTGGCTCACAGATACTGACAGTAGAAAGTTAGGCCAGAGCACGGCTGGGGCTTACATCAGTTCGTGTCAAATGAAGTCAGTAGCCCAGTGGCTAGGTCTGCTCCGGAATGAGCAGTGGTGTGGGCTTTGAGCCTCTTCTCACCAGTTTCTAATTGGGGTGAAGTTTCCTTTCCTTTCCCACCAAGAATAGGAACTCCAGTGTTCGTCTCAGAGAGGTCTTGATCCTAATGGTTCACGTGCTGCACACCTGACCCACAAGGCACAGAGAATTGGGGTGCCCCTGGGAGTCTGTCTGCCGTTTCTCCCCTACAGACCAGTCAACTCCTAGCCCCTGACAGCCCCTTTGAGAGCGTGTACTCTCCTCCGTGTGACACGCAAGTGGCCTAGCAGCAGTAGCTAACCAGGACTAGGCCTGGGCCATGGCTGTCCTCGCTGCCCGTGTTAACCAGATTATTGATGACAGCTGGCCTGAAAAGTGTCAGCTTGTTACCCATTTCCACCAGGACCACGTTTTAGTAGGGAACTTTGCACAAGGCTGACTTTACATTATTAAAAAGTAAGTTTCCTAAGTATAGCTAGCATATCTCAGTAATCCTGTGTAGTTTAAATTAGATTTTATTAAAAGAGGGAACATGCCATAGATCATATATAATCTCTCAAAATCACTTGGAGCTACACTACCTATAAAATATGAAAGTTGTGATTTACCATCTGTAAAACTTCACTGACAGTAATGGTTTGGAAATATTTAATTTTTGATAAACAATGATAAACATCCACGTTATTACTCCTGTCAGTTTATATGAATATTTCAATCTTCTAAAGCATTTGCTTTTTTTTTTTTCTTTTTTTACCCTATCCATTTCTGTCAGCAAGAAGAACTGGGCAATATTTTGTTTATAAATGCTGTTTGCAACCGGGGGGATCCCACTTGGTTTACAAACAGATTCTCCAAATCGTCTGTCCCTTTGAACATGAGCTTACCGTAATGCGTAGGCCCCAGAGCCATGCAGGAGCCTGGCGGTGGGCAGACCAGCATGACATGCACGTGCAGGCCTTGGATCACTAGAGCCCGTGGCCTTCTCCGTGTTCGCGTGTTAACCTCTCAGCCGCTGATCACTGTTGCACTACAGTGACTTTTCTGAATATTAATTCTTTTCTTTCCAGATATCCTTTTCATATTAAACTCCATGTCCATGAATATATTCTTTTTTTCCAAAGCTTCTCTGATGTCTTAAATATTTTAACCTACTTTCCTTTGTTTTTGCATTATTCTCGCTAACTTCTAAAATTCAACAATAAGCCTTAATTTAACTGTGTGAAATGTTTTTACTCTTATGCCTGTAGACTCTACAGATATTGCTTCTAAAACTTGATCCCAAGGTTCTAACAACTCTGGATCTTTCTACATGGTCCCAAGTTCCATGCACACAGTATTACATCGTGGAAGGTGTTATGGAAAATTTGGCATGCTTTGTCTAAACAGGTTGGAGTTGACTTAGCAATTGTTCCTGATACTGAAGCACAAAAAATTTTTTAAATGTTAGCAATATAAGAAAATATCTCAGAGGTCACATAGTGCTTCCTCCCCAGTTCTTTACTTAGTCCAAGTGGTATGGCCCTTTTAAGAGAAAAGTCTGGTGCCCACCACGGATGCCCCCCGACTCTTTTCTCATTTAAGCCACAGTCAATCTGGATTCTACCATATTAAAGCAAATCAGCCTCGTAAGGAACAGATTGACTTTTTACTTACTGGCTATAGTTCTAAGCACCAGAAATGGACAAAGGAGACCAAACAAGGAAATAGGAAAAATGAGGCATTGAAGGGGAGCCAGCACCAGGTTTGGAAGGGATGAGCGCTTCCGCCGTGGCGGGATGTGCCTTTCTCCTACTGTTTACTCTGAGTTCAGAAATAAAGGAGGAGAGAAGGTAGATCATGCTGTAGCCAGAAATGGATACAAAACATACCAGGGCTCACATAGAGTATAATCAGACCGTGGATATAATTATGCAAGTGTATGCATATGAATAAATCATCTTCCTCAGCCTTAACACTCAAGGTTAAAGTCAGCGCAAGGGCATGATGTGCCAGCCACAGTGACTCTGCTCAAGTAGTAACTGAAAGTGGTGTTTTCTACCCTCCCAGCCTGCTTTCTTGCACCTGAATGTACTTTGAACCCTTGATAAAATGAACTTTGAATCTTAAAGACCATTAGAGCTTCCACTCCCTTCTACTGGAAAAGGTGCCACCGTGCTTGGGGAAAAGATGGAGTGGGGAAGAGGTTAGTTTGAGGACAAATGTGGTGTGGTTGTTTTTAATCTGTTCGCCCTAGTGACATTCAAGCTAGTTGTGTGTTTATTTTATTTTTAATTAAACTTCACCTGGAATGTGTTTTAGCGGTAAGTATTTGGAGGCCTGCTTAAAGAAGGAGATGATTAAATTTGCTTAGGGGAAAAATGTGCTTGCTTTACTCTTTATAAGATAAATTCAGGACTTCAAACATATTCCTGAAGACCCTGGGCCTGACTGTCTGACTAGAATGCTAAAATCCATTCAACGTTAGCATGTGGTTTTCTTTTGTGTGAACATAGATGAGATAATAAGATAATATGGGTTATGGGTAGGAAATGTTCTAGCAAACTGCTAATAGGAGTATTACATGCCTCTGAGTATGGCATAAAGTAGGTTAGGTTTTTGCCTTCACCCATGGGTCTATTAAGAGACCCACTGGAGTGTTTTATTTTTACTTCAAGGAATTTAAATTATCATGCAAGGCTAGGAAGGCATTAAAAATATATTTCTAGCCTAGTGAGAAACTTAGAGTGCTTGTAACATACACATTGGTGAATTCAACCAGTGTTCCAAGTGCTTATCAGACATTCAACTCTGCAAGCATTGACTGAGCACCCAGATTGTCTACAGCCCTGTTAGGAGGAAAGCATATGTGGGCAAGATGAATCAAAGGCTGTGACCAGTATTTAGGGATCACTGAATAAACAGCTCACTATCACTAGCGTGTGCTTGTGAGGGGTTTGGGGCCCACTGCATGGCAGGAGAAGGACAGCTGGAGAGTGCTCTGTGTGGCACGTTCATGTCCAGACTGGCTTTCTGGCGCTCAGGGGTTACTGGGAAAGGCTGTGCAGTTTCAGAGCTAGCGACCCCTCTGAAGCTGCCATCAGACTCTCGATTGATTAGATTGGGCAGTTTTGACCAACCTGAGTGAGGAAGAGGATTTTTGAAATTGTCATCTTTAACGGGAGCATCGCCTTGTGCCTGAAAGGACCTTTTTTATTTTATTAACCCAAAACCACTTTAGAAATACCACAAGTACAGTGAATTACCTATCTCAGTTACAGAATTTTCTGCAGTGCCTTATGTTAAAGATGAGATTTCATTGTAGAGTGCTGTATGCACAATATGGACACTTCCCTATAAGCTTTCCTTCTGTTGATTTTGTTTGTACAAACTAGGCAATTAAAAAGTTACTCAAAATGCTCCTTCATTTCCTTATTATTTTTAAACATATGGGCCTGTTACATTGTTTTCTTTTAGGGAAAAAGAAACAGTGGTTTCAGACAGTGCTTCTTTGGGAGCCAAAAGCACTGCAAGTTGACAAAGCTTTGTCCGGCAATGGGGTACACGTTCAGGCTGGCCGCTCGGAATGACATTGGCACCAGGTATGACATTTCCCTGTCCTCTTGCCCTTCCACCTTTGGCTGATGATTCTGAGCCTTCTTCAACATTGCTGAAAGTCATGGGGCAGGCTGCCTCCACGCTGAATCAACTTGAGGTTTTGCGTCCCCTCCTGATCAGAGGGGACGAGGCCTCTTGTGAGGGGATGAATGCCACTGCGGCCCCTTTGCAGTCTTGCAGCCTGTGTTGCAAGCACCCCACTAGGGGTCTCTGAGAACCAAGATGAAGGTAGCAGTACAGATTTTAAAAGGAATTCCTCTTGGGGCTTTATTTTTTGAGATCATGTGCCTTTTTCTTTCATCACTTTAGCAAGCTCTTCATTCAGCTGCCTTTTTTCAATTATGTGTTTCCTGATACAAAGAAAAGGGTGCTGGGCTGATCATTGTTGTGAAGCCCAGGGAAGATGCTCACAGAATTGCGGAAAACCTGGACTGTCTTAGAGGCTGCTGCATAGCTCCAGGCTGTAGGAGAAAGGCAAGAACAGGTGTACTGCCAGGCCTCAATTGATTAAAAGGAGGCTTTGAAAAGGCCATGTTTCAATTGCACTTGCCGGGCAACTCTTGATTACGGGAACAATCTTTTTATCACTGCTTATTGAAAATCTTCTTAAAGGTTTGGCACATCAGTGGTCCCCAACCTCTTTCCAGCCTAAAGAATCTCTTTATAACATCACAAAATTTTGCAGACCTGCCTCCTCCACCCATGATAGCCATTATAGTTTTAGAGTTCACTGGTTGACAGTCATAATGATAAAGGCTTCTGTGGTTCACAAATTTTTAAATGAATTGGAAGCATCCACAGACTTTTGAAAAACAGTACTGTCTACCTTTGTAAAACATTTATCAACAGCCAAATTATTTGTGATGACATTGTTTTGAAGAATCCTTCGTAGCTATCACTCATAGCTCGATAAACATTGTATTGTGCTATGCTTTCTGTTCAGTGCTTTGGGGGTGAAAAGAAATTCGTAAGTACAGTTATCCCTCAGTATCTGTAGGGGATTGGTTCCAGGACACACACCCTCCTTCCCTCACCCCATGGATCTATGGATACCCAAATCTGCAGATCCTCAAGTCTCTCACATAAAATGGCATGGTATTTACATATAACCTGTGCATATCCTCCTCTCCTGTATATTTTAAATCAACTCTGGATTACTTATAATTCCTAACACAATGCCTGCATATCACTTCATGTGCTTGGACTCACCCTAGTTCTCAGTGTGGCAAATTCAAGTTCTGCTTTCTTAAACTTTGGAATTTTTTTTTCAAAATATTTTCAATATTGAAAAGTATTGGTTGAATCCACAGATGTGGAACCCAGACATACAAAGGGACAGCAGTATATTGTCCTATAACTTAGTGTTCTCATCTAGTAGCAGACCACAGGGGAAAAGGGCAAGCTGCAAGCTGTGGCATACAGTGTCACATGAAGGATCCTTGCTTGCCTTTGCTTACTGCGCCTGTCAGGCCCCAGACTCTCCAGCAGGGTGGGCAGTGTGTAAGCTTATGCCTCCTCTTTTAAAACACAAAACCCTATCACACTCCTAAAGGTGTGTCTCGCTGTTTCCTTCTCTACAGTGGTTACAGCCAAGAGGTGGTGTGCTACACATTAGGAAACATCCCACAGATGCCCTCTGCACCAAGACTGGTTCGAGCTGGCATCACATGGGTCACGTTACAGTGGAATAAGCCGGAAGGCTGTTCACCCGAGGAAGTTATCACCTACACCTTGGAAATTCAGGAGGATGAAAATGTAAGTTTTGCAGATTTTATACCCTTGTGTTTTGCATAAGTCAGCATTATTATGGCTACAGGGCACCATGAAATTAGATTAGCTACATAATTTCAAAACCAAACTTTCAATTTCTACCAACAGCAGCCCGTTCTTTCCCGTCTCAGTAAATAGCACCCCCATCCTTTCAACTGGGGAAGCCAGATCCCTTGGAGTCATCCTTGACCCCATATCTAGTCAGTCAGCAAATCCTTTTAAATCTTCCTTTAGAAATTATTTAGGATCGTAACCATTTTTCATTATCTCCACAGCTACTGCCCTTTACAAGGCAACTTCATCTCATCCCTGAATTATTTCAGTGGCCTCTTAATATTATTTCTAACTTCACCCTTATTATGCTACAGTCTGTTCTCTGCACAAAGCTTGAGTGATCCTGCAAAATACAAAAAGATCATGTCAGTGTTCTTTTTGGAACCCTTCCACCTCAGTGGCTTCCCCTCCCTTTTGAAGTAAAAGCCACAGCTCTGACAAGGCCCGCAGGGTCCTGTGTGCTTGGTTCTCCATTACTGCCTACTCTGTCCACTGTAGTCCTGTCTGCCTCATGTCTGTTCCTTGAACAGACCAGGTGTGCTCTGGCCCCAGTGCCTTTGCCGCTCCTGTGCCCTCTGGCTAGAATGCCCTTCCAGATATCTTTGACTCACTGCCCTCATTTCCCTCAGGTCTCTTAAGTGTCATCTCTTTGGACAGCCCTTCCCTGACCACCCCATAGAACAGCACTGTCTAGTAGAACCTTCTGCAGTAATGGAAACGTTGTATAGTGTGTGCCGTCCAATAAGGTAGCACCTAGACACGTGGCTATTGAGCACTTGAAATATGGCTTGTGGGCCTGTGGAACTGAATCTTTAATTTTAGTAAATTTGAACCCAAAGAGCCACAGGTATGGCTACCATATTTAACCTACTCAGCAGCACCTCCCTAGCTCCACCACTGTATCCTCTTACCCAGCTTTAGTTTTTGTCCGTAGCACTGAATACCACGTGACATGCTTTCTATTTATATGTAGGTTGTTTTTTTCCCTAACTGCCTTCTCCAGCTGCCATGTAAGCTTCGTTTAGGCAAGGCTTTGTGTGTCCTTAGAGCCCAGAGGAGAGCCTGATGCAGAGAAGGCAGTCAGTGGTATTTGGTGAGTGAATGAATGACAGAGAATACTGTTGAGTGAGTTCCCTGCATTCACCTTCTAATGGGGTGTTTATCCTCTTGCAGGATCATGCCCTTTCCCAGCAGAGCTGTCCTTTCTCCCTTGGCCAGAAGAGGACACTGTGTGGTCAGGAACCTCAGCTGGCGTTTACTGCATACCACATTGCAGCCAGACAATGCAGACCTCAATACAAGAGGCTTTTTCATGACAGCGTTGTTAAATAAATTTTTGAAAAGTACTTTGTCACAGTAAAGTTGACCAGACCCAGGAGAAATTACAATGTGATAAAGACAAATTTTTATGTAAGGTTCAAGTGCTATCCACAGCACCATGGGCTTCTGATACTCTTTTTTGTAGTAGCTGCCAGACCTCTGGCTCACTGGTGATGGCAGGAAGAGGCCATATAAAAATCCTATACACAAAGGTATTTAATGCTGAGATTTTATGAAACTGATGTTTCTTTTGTGGCTTTGCCTTTTTAGGATAACCTTTTCCACCCAAAATACACTGGAGAGGATTTAACCTGTACTGTGAAAAATCTCAAAAGAAGCACACAGTATAAATTCAGGGTGAGTCCGTCATTTTGTTACCTGGAACTGCTTAAAAATGAAGCTGTTTTTTGTTTTGTTGTTTACCGTTTCAAATGACTCTACAGGTTAAAAAAGTTTGAATTTCACAACACTGTATATTTTTTTGTCAGATTTTAAAATTTTTATTTCAGTAGATGTAGGAGTTACAAATGTTTTTTTTTCACATGGCTGAATTGCATAGTGGTGAAGTCAGGGCTTTTAGTGTACCCATCACTGGAATTGTGTACATTGTACTTAGCAGGTAATTTTTCATCCCTCCCCTTCCCTACCCTGCCCCTTCCTGAGTCTCCAGTGTCCATTATACCACGCAGTAGGACCACGCGTACCCATCGTTTAGTTCCCACTTACAAGTGAGAGCATACAGTATGTGATTTTCCGTTCTTGAGATACTTCACTTAGGATAGTGGCCTCCAAGTTCCATCCAAGTATAGCACTTTTATATTTCTAAAGTAACATTTATAAAAGGTACACCATACTTTAATTTTAAAATTCGCTTTTGAGAGAGAAAACTGCCGTACCGTGCTATAATAAATATAGCACGTTATAATATAAATATAAATATAAATATAATAAATATAAATCACATTACAGCATGGCCCAGTGCCCTCACCTGGGAAGACACAAACCAAATGCTGAGTGCACCTGTCACTCTGCTGCACTTCACACTTTTCTCTTCCATATTTCTCCTTTTAATCAGATTTCTCTTTTGCTCTTCATTTTCCTTCGTTCTTCTGCCCATTTCTTTTTCCTCACCTGTTTTTATTTTTCTCTTCCATTATCCATCCTCTCCCCACTTAGGCTGTCTTTGGTCTTTAACAACCACCATTAATGTTACCATAGGACTTTGTGTTTATAGCCAAAAAAGTGAATACAACTTTGTGATCATTAAGAGAAAAAAACAATTTGCTGTATCCTGTTCTGCAGCCCTATTTATTGAACTTGTGCTTATCATCATATTTTCTAATATGACATGTACATTTTGGAGAGATATAGTTGTCTTCTGATTCCACCCTTCTCCAATTTGGTGGCCAAATGGTGTTATTTGGTACATAGTAGTCACTCAGTAAGTAGTTGTCAAATTATCAAATGGTGTGTGTGACTATTTGAGGAACTTGATGCTAGCTGTGAGAACATAGCCATACTGCTAGCATTTCTCCACAAGGTGGCATTGCCCTGCTCCTAGTTAAGTGAGCTAAGTTTTATCTGCCTTTTCTCCCCTTATTTTCCTTTCACAAAACAATAGGAACTAGGTGGTGACATTCTGTTTTCATTTTGTCTTTTTGATAGGGTAAAAAATGTTTTTAGCTAAAACCTACCTTATGGTTTTATTTTTAATTGTTAATAGCCAACTGTACAGAAAAGTGATCTAAAAAATACTGGTAAATCAATTCTTGAGTTTAGAGAGAGAAAATGTGTGTTTGTCTGAGTTTATGGACACCTTGATCTTGCTGTTAAAAAGTCACTATTGATTTAGTAATACCTGATAACTAAAGCATGTTAATGTTTTCTCGGTTGTGTTATAGCTGACTGCTTCTAACATGGAAGGGAAAAGTTGTCCGAGTGAAGTTTTGGTTTGTACAACAAGTCCCGACAGGCCTGGACCGCCTACCAGACCCCTCATTAAAGGACCGGTCACATCTCATGGCTTTAGTGTCAAATGGGGTATGTTTTGCTGCTGCTGACGCTTTATTTTTGACAGAGTTTTAAAAACGAATTTCAGAAGTGACAAGCCAAAAAATAAATGGACACTATTATTTGAAGGAGATTTATGTGTTTGGAATATACGTATGAAAAACATCCTGAGAATTCTACAAATTGGAATGGACAGTTCCATTAAAATTTAAATAGATGATTAAATTTTAATGGAAATTAAAATGGGTAATTTTAAGAGTATCTCATTTACTTTATGATTTTCCTATATTATACATATTTTCTCCTTTATTTTTAATATATTATTGATTTGAATGTAATAATCTCTCAATATTTAGTTCATTCTTTAGTAGCTCACCCTAAAAAAAAATTTAGCAATATTTAATAGAAAAAATTTGACTTGTAAAGTTAATATTGAAAATAAATTTCAAAATTTAGGTATATTATCGTAAGCAGATTTTAGCATAAAGAATGTTTAAGTTGCAATAAACTAGGAAAATTTTTGTTTTCATTGTTGTTTGTAACCAGAGTCTTGAACTTCTGGAATTTTTTATATTAAAATTTAAATGGGGTTTTGGGTTGTCTGGTAGAATCCATAAAGCTCACCTCTGCTGTTAGTGTTCATTTTATTGAAATAATCCAATCAGTAGGTTGATCAACATTGCTAATTCTATGTAAAAGTGTTGTGTATAATTTTCACTAGTGTCATATGATAACATTAACTACCTAACAGGCCAAAAAGAAGGGGAAATCTAAAATAAGATTTTACCTGGAAGCCAAATAATGTAAGGGGAATTTAAAACATTATTAGACTACTGGTGGAAACTAACCACTGAGACAAATAACTGTTTCAAGTTATCTAATAATTTCGAGGCAAAATTATTAGAATGTCTCTTTCCCTGGAAGATGAGTATGATTTAAAAAAAAAAAAACTATAAAAATCTAGGTATGCTTTTTGCCAGACCATAGATCTTTTTTCTCAGAAAATCCTAGAAAGTTCTGTCAACACTGAATATTTACTTTCATTAGCTGTATGCTATAATATTTAACTTTATAATTATTGTAAATATCTATCACTGAAATATGTATATATTAATGAAAATGTCAGGTGAAAGGAGAGGGGAAGTAAATTTTCTAAATCTTTTTGAGTAAACTTAGGGTTTTTTTGAAAAATCTCCTTTATAGCTAAGAAAATCAAGATGGCAGACTGATGTAGAGGTTAATTCCTTATTGTTTTGCAAAATTATACTGCAAGGTATTTTTCTGCTCAGAAAATAAAATCCCTGCAGGCACAGGGTCACCAGTGACTGTATACCCGAGGTGCCATGGGGCTCCAGGAGTAAGCCAAACCTTCTTCCTCAAACTCGCTGCTGAGGGCATGTGTTCTTATTGATCCACATGTCTGATTTTACATCAGGTTCACTTAGGATATAAAATTTGCTTGGTGGCAAACTGTGATGGAATGGATTTATTCCATTCTAATGTTTTATTTATTTTGTCAATAAATTTTATACTTCTCTTTCTTCCCTTTCCATCTCAAAAGAATCTGGTCACTGGTGAAATAGAAAGAATAAAATAATAAAAACAAAAGGAAATATATGAATATTTTATCATATATAAAAATCATCAAATATTAAAGAGCTGCCTTCAGAATTCTCAAATTAAATTCATTAATGTAATTCGTGTTGGGTTTTGTTTATGTTTCACTAAATGCTAACTGACATTTCTAGCTCTAAGAACTGTGAATAATCAGTTACTATTTAAGGATCTTGATTTGTTTCTTCTTTTGTTTTTCAAGAAAGATGTTGGGTGAAATAAATTATTGTGCCTTTTAGTCAAGTTTAGAATTAAGACAGTATAATGTTATATGATTTTATGTGTTCTAATGATATTTACCAATAAAAAATCAATATTTTTTTATTACCAATAAGATATTTGCTTGCTTTCCAGATCCTCCAAAGGACAATGGTGGTTCAGAAATCCTCAAGTACTTGCTAGAGATTACTGATGGGAATTCTGAAGGTGAAGTTTTTGGCAATTGTTTATTCAAATCCAGTAGCAAGCTCTATTTTCTAATATGGTGTAAACATCTTTGTAGTAATATTGGATAATCATTAATTCTAATGCTAGAGCTATTACAGTAAACAAACTTTAATCACATTTTGGCACTTTTTCTCTTTCAAACCCAGCACCAGTCTGCTTGAAATGTACATTTTTGTCATTTTTTAAAAATTTTCTATGTTTTTTTTAAACCAGAGTTCCTGATTAGTAGATAAATAAATTTAATGTTTTTTCCCAACTTGCCACACATTTTCTGGAAATTGTTATAAGCAAGGAAATTATCAGAAGCAATCAGCAGGAAGAATAAGTTGGAGACAGTATAAAGGAGTTCAGTAATCTACAAATTCCCATGTATGATGACAAGCATGTATGATAGTATTATGGCCTAGTGACAAATGTCACACTTTCAAAGCAAGTTTAGAAAATCCCTGTCCATCGTCACTGTGATCTTTGAGTCAGATTATTTGTTCACTACTATTCACACTATGTGGATTAAAGTAGAATAATGTTAGAAATCAAAAAATTCCTTAGATAGTGCCATTTTTAAAATTCTTAGGTTTTCTTTCTGATAAAATTTAGTAGTCTTTAATGTAGAAAAGTATAGTCATCAAAACTTTAAAAATTATACATAATCTTACCACTAAAATAATCCCTGTAACCATTAATTTTTTGAAAAGTGGTGTGTGCTTATGGCAAAAAAATAAAAGAGAGTGGACAGTAACTATTATGAGTAAGCAGTGGGGCGTGGGGCTTGCTCTTTATTCTGTGTCACAACAGCCACCTGGAGCTTTTTTGGGTTTTAAGTCTCTCAGGTCCTATTTTAAGCTGAAAACATGAAAACTCTTTGAGATGAGCACATCTGTTCTTAACATAAAATCATATTTTATGCTAAAAATTTTACATTAAAAAAACTACTAGGAGAGAAATCATGTATATACCAGTGGCTCATTGTAAAAACTTCAGTACGTTTTGAATTTTCTTGGCTCTCTCAGCTACTGATGACAAATCAACAGTAGGTACCGTTCTGTACTTAAAGTTAACAACTTTGCCAGTGCATGGGTGAGTGATTAATTGAATCTTTTCCGTCATCCTTGCTCCCAGTAGCCTTTTCAGTAGTTTTCTGACCTGTAATATCAGTGTAATTGTCTTTAATATTACCTTTCTCATATGGCCTTAGTGCATGTGACTTTATTGTAAATATGACCTGATAAGCCACTGAGGGAATTTTTGGAAATTAAAATATCACGGAAGAGAGTAAAAGTAGTTTCCCTAAAACAACTTCATGGAGTAAAAGGCTTTTGTTAAGTCGTCAACTGGAAACATAACATTAGTGGGAGCAAAACAGAGGAGAGGAAAACATCCCAGCAGCCCAGATTTGTGAGGCAGGCACAGTAGAAGCAGCCCAGATACTTTTTCCTCCAATGGCATCAGCCTCATTGGGCACCCAGACTCCTGGTGACCTTGCTTTCATTTTTCAGTCCCAAAAGGTGGTCGTATAACCTGGGTCACAGAGTATATGGTCTTTAATTTGTCACTCTTCCAGGTATTTTTGTCTTTTAAATGAGGCTCCATGAAGACAGCAGGACTTTACCTAAAAGACCCAGTTTCTAATAGGAAGGTTTCACTCACTGTGACCTCCAGATAGATACGAGCAAGGAAGAACTCTTCCAGCAGCGCCCCAGACTTGCCAGGAAGCCCCGTGGCCCAGCAGGCAGCCATATCCTCGGCTGCTCCCAAGGTCCTCACACCAGGGTATTTCGTAGCTTTCTCAACACTGCCCTTTGTCTCCTCTTATCACTCCCGGATGCCAACTACACATGTCAGATGTTTCCCGCATCCAAACCTCATAGTCAGCAAACGGTGGTGATACCAAGTAGTCTAGTCAGCAGTACTAAGTATTAAAAATGATCCCATGTTATTTTAGTATTTAACTTTGTAAAAAAAAGGAAAGAGAGATGTTTGGCTATTTAAAAAAAAACAGGAGATGTTGTTTTTCATGGAAATCACTTAGAGCTTTTTCTTATTTGTACTGGTTGCTGCTACTACATTTTTACAAAGGCGTAAACTCATACATGAGTCTTGTTTTACAGCAAATCAGTGGGAAGTGGCATACAGTGGATCGGCTACAGAGTACACTTTCACTCACTTGAGACCAGGCACTTTGTACAAGCTCCGGGCATGCTGCATCAGTACTGGTGGACACAGTCAGGTTCGTTTTGTTTCCGTGCACGAGTAACCAAATTGGGACAAACCGTCTATAACATCAGAATAAAATTGCAATTTAAAAAATGTGTCTTGGTAATGCCGCCTGCCACAGTATCACAGCAGGAAATGAAAAATGGACTTTTTTAAACTGTACTTTAGAGAACACAAAAGATAGTAGACCCAAGTGATTCTCAACTCTCTTGTGGTATTTTCAAGTACATTTGGCACTAGTTATTTCTCAGAAGGCTTTGGCATAATCTCGTGACAGTTAAATTGTCTGCAATTTAGTTTAGGTAAATAGGGGAGACCCCAGCTATTGCAATGATAGAAAAGTATGGCATTTAGAGTCAAAAAGATAAGACCTACACAACTTTGCCGTTACCACGTCTTACCAGTTTTGTGAGAATTTGAGACATAGCTTGCTCAAGGTACTTTACTGCCATCTGCTGGGAAATTGTTGTAAGAACAACATAAATCTATGATGACCAACCTGAATGGCACCTCTTGTAATTGTGCGGTGCCCAACATACACATCTGTAGGCAGCAGCCAGTATCTTGTTATCTGCTATTTGCATGACCTTAGGCCAGCCAGCTAATGTCAGGAGCCTTCGTTTCAACCACATGATGTTCTCATAGGCTCAAAATAACCTGATAAATATACATGAAGTACTCTAGAAATGAGATATTTGTTGTCTAAATGACCTTAACTTACGTTCAGAAAAGTGAGTGAGAGGCAAGATGATAAAAGATATTTCACTGTAGAGACAGTTAACATTATGATGTGAAACCACTAATATTTAAAGAGAGAGAAAGGAGGAGGAGGAGGAGGAGAGATGGTGGCTTGTAGCCCTGTGTTGGGTTGACTTTTTTTTTAAGAGAATGCCTTCCATTTGAATGCCTTATTTTTCCAGTCAACCCACCTGCAACATCTTGTGTTTATGTTCTTTCCCCCCGTGGATTAGCAATACTGTGATGTCTAGATTGCCCATTTAGACAGACTCCCTGTGAGAAGGAAGTCCAGCTAGACCATCCTTAGGCAGTACCAGAGCTCTCTGGAATGCCTCCCAGGGTGGAATAAATCCAAATCAAAGCCGCACATTATCAGCAGGTACCTCTTCTGTGTGAGGCACTGCACAAGGTGGCACAGAGGCTGCACTGCTTGAATGTACAGAGTCCGTTTCCTCTGTACCGCTCCTCCTCAGGAAGAAGAATGAGTTTGGTGGAGCTGTATAGCTCGACCTTGTTTCCTCCTGTCTCAGGAAGGCAGGCAGCTTCTACACCACCAGCCTTACACAACCAGATCCTGCGAAATGAAGGCCTACTTATTATAGCATTAACAGAACCTGCTGGCTAATGTCAGAGTCAGTTGATTAATATTGACTGTATTTACTTTTCTGCTCTGTATGTGAATGGTTGGCCATTTATGGCACCATTTAAAAATTTCATACAGTTGTTGTTTTGTGTTCTTTTCTGTCCTCATGAAGGGTCTTCCTGATTTTGATTTAAAGGAAAATAATTATATGCTTAGGATGCACAACACTCATCTGACTTCAAAAATAATCATTCTTGTTTCTGCCAGTGCCATATACAGTATATGTTGACTCTTAAAACACACATACCCATTTATATGAGGATCTTAGTGCACAAAAAACCTTCCAATAACGTGTACACATTTAATATGTAACCCCCTTTTGACAGCATTAACAGTTATGGGGTGGAATGTGCCTGATATATAGAGGTCTGATAAATTCACAGTAACTAAGAGATGATTCTCTCCGGTGTTTTTCCTGCAGTGTTCTGAAAGTCTCCCTGTTCGCACACTAAGCATTGCACCAGGTCAGTGTCGACCACCGAGGGTTTTGGGTAGACCAAAGCACAAAGAAGTCCACTTAGAGTGGGGTGAGTGAATAAATCTTCACATTGACATTGATAGTTTGGACGATTGGTGATTAAGACTTAATGCTTTGTAGTTAAGTTTTAAGGCTGCCTTCTGAAAACCATACTTTTTATCCTATTAAAGATGCCCATATTCTTCTTAACACATGTTGGCCTGGGGTTTCCGTGTATGTCACCCCCACCACCCCCACCGCTGTTGCTCATCCTTCTGTCCCACCCTTTGGGGGGGTGCTTCTCTAGGGAATATTTCAGCATGGCCAGCCTTTTTCAGGAATTTTTCAACCTTATTCATAAAAGAGTTGCGTTCAGTTTAGAAATTAAACCAAGAAATTCATAAGGGAACATCAAATTTTCCTCTTCTGTGTGTAACCTCCCTTGCTGTATTGCCAGGTGTGGGTCCTGGCGTTGACTTAAGCTGTATTAGCATTTCCTATCGTGAAAACAGTTCACAACATGTACAATTGCAAGTATAAACACGCAGAACTCTAGCAGACTGTTTTTTCCCATCGCTTATGTCTAAAATATAATACAATATTGTGCCAGTTTTGGGTCCTGTATCTTGATTTAGTGTGAGCTTTGGTTTGAAGTTAAAGAGAGATTTTTTCTTTATTTCTTCCATTTAACTGCATTAGAATGTGAAGAAATTTGCCTAATGCATTCATTATTTTGGAATTATTTTATTAATGTAATTAAATATACTTAAATGTACTTGCTTTGGGTAGTATGGATAACATCCTTCAGGAACTTGTTCTTTTGTGTCTCTTTTTTCTTTTATTCTTTTTTTTTTTTTTATGAACAGGGATTCTTTTGTAAGAGATACTGAAAACAGGCCACGTATGTGATATTTTGTAAAACTTAGGTGAAATCAGGTGTGATTTGGTCAGCTGGAAGCACAAGAACGTTCTAAGATGAAAAAATTCTTCATTCGCAGATGTTCCAGCATCTGAAAGTGGCTGTGAGGTCTCGGAGTACAGCGTGGAGATGACAGAGCCGGAGGACGTGGCTTCGGAGGTGTACCACGGGCCAGAGCTGGAGTGCACCGTCGGCAACCTGCTTCCCGGAACCGTGTATCGTTTCAGGGTGAGAGCCCTGAATGACGGAGGGGTGAGTCGAAGGTTATACACCACAATCAGAACACCAAGCGCTAGCTCTTCTGTGTCTACCGTCCTGAAGTTCCTTAGCAGTGTCTATCCAAGCGTGACAGTCATTAAACAAGTATATATGTAGAATCTTATTTCTGAACTGATACTGTTGTGACTTCATATAGACCCAGCATTAGAAACTTTGTTTCTTTTGTCCTTATATCATTCTACTAAGCTAGCCCCCAAGGTCAATAAGAACATCACCCTGTAGAGGCTTTTGATAGTTTTTAGAAAATTTCTGTTCTCTCATTGACTTTATTTATCTGTTATGGGAAATTGGGACTACATAGTAGTTCAATAAAAGTTCTGTACCATCTTGTCTAAATGAACTAGCAATGTCTCAGGTCAATTTTTAAAACTGGAAAGCGGTAGAGGCTAGGGACACCAACTTAATTGCTTTTTGCTTTGTTTCAAGTGAAAACTGGAATTTTCTGGCCCATTCTTCTACTGCTGTATCTGGAGTTGTCAACTTGGGTTCTCAGGGATTGAGAGTATATATGTCTGTATTTTATCCACAAAGGTGGTGGTCTGTTTTTTCTTTGAAATTGCAGAATGATGTGGATTTTGGGGGAGATTCAAGTTGAGCAGTAGGAGGCCCAGAAACTGGGGGGCTTCTTTGTGTGTCGGAGATGGGTGGAAACATGCATGAGGGCAGACAGGTGTGGGTAAAGCAAACTGCTGCTCAAACCCCCTAAAAGTTCCAGTGGTCTGTATAGATGAGCACAATGCAAATAAATAGATTTAATTAATTGATGAAATTTTTTAAAAAATACGAACGCCCAACTTGCAGTGATACTAAGTTGCCAGTGACTTTTTTCTAGTTCTCAGTAGTCCTGTTCCAGCCTTTCAGAAGTGAAATGTGCTGTCTTTAGTCAGTTCCGTGTTAGCCACAGCTGGCTGTGAGAATCTTTGGTCTGAGTAGGATCTCAAACCTTGAACCAGGAGCTGGGTTTCTTCTAACTCCCCCTTAGGAAAGAATTGTAGACACAGCACAGATATTTAAATGCAAAAAAGTCTAAACGTTAAAGCCTTTGCACCCAAACTTATGTAAGTGAAAAAGAGGATGGACGATGGTGACCATACTGCTGTATTTGTACTTTTCTGTCTTCTTTACAAGGAATCTCTGCCATAACAAAGATAAACATGCAACCGAGCTGATTCGAGTTTCACTTTCTCACCCCTTTCACTGATTTATCGTGTAAAGAAACTGTCTTCAGCCTTGATTTATTCCTGTTGTATTGGAAATTAACCATCTATGTGACAGTTGTCAACTTCTGAGGTCCATTTCAGAGAGCTTCCCCTCCACTCCCCAGTATCTTTACAGGTTATATTGGAAAATATGAGAGTTTTAGGTTTTGTGGGTTTTTTAAATCTTTTCTTATTTTGAAAAGTACAGTCACATATTTCATTAGCCTAGAAATTATTTACTCTTTGCCCCAATCCTTTGAAATAGCAAATGTTCCTCCATCAATACAGGTGTTGCCAGTGGTAACGGCTCTCTCAAAATGTGTTAAATCTCTAGTGATGCCTGGCCCTGGGCAGTGTGGTCACTGATGGTAACGTGAAGAAAAGGGGAGTGCAGTATACGCCTCTGAATAGTTGAGATGGTGGGAACGTGCCGAGAAATCATGACAGGAGCATTAGTTTTCAGAATGAAAGATACCAATAACTAGAAGAAATACCTAGAATTTGATAACCAACAATTCCAAGTACCTATTTTATGCATTAAAAATTAAACTGCACTGTGCATCTGACTTAATTTTCTTTGCTATCCTCTCAGAAATGTTAAAGCAGAATGCCATGTTTTGTCAAGAATCAGCGTGTTTTCGTTTCTCATGTCACAGTAAAGGAAAAGTGTTTCATAAGCTGACTTTCTAATTCTTTTGAATAAAACAAATACATATATAGCAGACATTTTCTACTCAGGGAATGTGTATAGGAGAAAACCCTACACACATTCAACTGAAAGTGAAAACCATTGGTTGATATTTTTTAACCGGTTATGTTGACGATGTTAGCCCAGCCCTTATTTGGTTATAAGCTTTCACATGCACACATGTACATACATGTACACTTACAAGTGTGTGTTCTTCTCTTGCAGTATGGTCCCTATTCTGATATCTCAGAAATTACCACTGCTGCAGGGCCTCCTGGACAATGCAAAGCACCTTGTGTTTCTTTTACGCCTGATGGATGTGTCCTAGTGAGTTGGGAGGTAAGTCAGGCATATTCTGCATCAATTTCTGTTTCTTCTACTTTGTCTACACCCAAATAAAAATACAATTTATGAGGAAACTGCAAAGCCAAAATGCACATGTAGGTTTTTTTGCTCTATATGCAGTAATCTCCCTTGGCATTTGCTTGTATCATTTAGAGTTGTGGAAATTTTACCAGTGGTCAGAATTGAGAGTAAATTAAGTGTCTCTTTCATGCTTTTTCTTTTATGTGTATTTTAAATATCCTGGGGCATGTTGCTCTCTTTCTCAGTTTAGCTAGGTGAACACAAACACGGTAGGATTTTTCTTCTCAATGGAATTATTACCTACTTGAATTTCTGCCTTCCAGAGTCCCGAAAGCTCTGGTGCTGACATCTCAGAGTACAGGTTGGAATGGGGAGAAGATGAAGAATCTTTAGAACTCATTTATCATGGGACAGACACCTGCTTTGAAATAAGAGATCTATTGCCTGCTGCCCAATATTGCTGTCGACTACAGGTAGGTTGACATTATTCAGACGTTACTCACAAGGACCAGTGTTCCATGAAAAATGCTTTAGGAAAGCTATTCAAAGGCTTGTAAGAGAGGCTATCAGGAAGGATGATAGAAAAAAAGAGTCCTTTCAAATAAAAATAAATCTGGTTATTTTGGTGTTTTACAGTTAATTGCTGCTTTTCTAGGAGATCTTGAATTGCAAGAATAAAATAAGATTCTTTTCCATTCTACGTCTCACTACCCTTGCATCTTGCCTGTTTGTCAGTTTGCTGAATAAATGGCCAAGCCCAAGGTAAAGGTGGCAGAGCTCCTTAGAGAGGGTGCCTTCTGTCTAATTCCCCTGAGGTGCACGTTTCAGTGGGAAAGCCACTTAGAACTGGCAAAAGACAGTAAGTTATTTTACCAGCTGTTACCTGAAGCCAAAAGCAATATTAGAGTAATTTGGACTAGTCTGCAGTAGATTATGGGACCCCACCTTCCTCCTCCCAGTAACCATTATTAGGGCTGGTTATCTGTAAGCTTCCACTTGGGAGTCCAGAGAGAATAACATCAAGAACAATTGGTTCATAGCCTAACACCCAAGAGTGACAATAATCATGGGTTTATTTTACTTTATTCACTTGGATAAGTGATTTTTTCCCTTTTGTAAAGCCTTAGTGTCCTGAGAAAATAGAGTTCTTTGTCTTTTTCTTTCCATTTATTCAGTAACATTTCTTGAGCACAATGGTACTTTGCGCCAGGATCAGAGGATGATCAGGAGGAGAGATACAAAGATTAATCAGATGTGGTTATTGACCTTGAGAGGTCTGTCTTCATACACATTTAGATTTGAATAGATAATGAAGCAAAGATGCCAGATTTAAGTTCCTACCTGATTTAAGTCATGGATAAAATTGCTTATTACAAGTATACCCAATGTCTCTGGCCTCTTCAGAGAAAATATTCCCTTCATAACTTAATTTTCCAGATCAACTGAAGCATTTCTGTTAACTTCTGAAAACTGCTTTATCTTAAACATTTCTGATTAAACTCTTTTGATATACACCTTTCTTCTTGAATGAAGCACCTGGGACATAATTAACCTTTTGTCAATGAGTCAGTGTCATAGCAAATTATCTGATCTTTATAATAGTGAGGCTGAGTCATTGGGGAAAGGTTGAATTATGTGCCACACTCCTGTTTTTGGATCAAGGCAGGATATAAATAAAGAGCTGTCTGCCACCACAGTAAAGAGCTTCACTCCACTATGCTTTTAGAATTTTGATGTCTCTTTAAAATGTTCATATATATATATGTATTTTTTTTTCCTTTCAGAATATATGAGGTCACTTAGCCTTGACTTCTCAAAACTGCATTATAAAAGATGCATTAATAAGAATAGAATCTGAATAATAATCTTGCCTCCCTGTATTAACAGGAGTAGAAAATATTTTCAGATGTCTGTACTTATTTGTAATAAAATGAGTCAGATCTTATGAAGGGAATAATACTTTTAAAACCACCATTGACCAACCCGGGCAACTTAGCAAGACCCCATCTCTAAAAAAAAAAAACAACAACAACAAAATAGCCTGGTGTGTTGGTGCAGAGGATTGCTCTTTAGTCCAGGAGTTCAAGGTTATAGTGTATAGGAAGCTATGATCTGCATTCCAGCCTGGAGGACAGAGCAAGACCCTGTCTCTCAAAAAAAAAAAAAAAAACCATTACTATGCTAAAGAAGTATTACCAGGAAAAATGTCTCTTTAATCTATATTGATTTCTTAGTATCTATAGACCAAATATGAATTATATTCATTTGATATTACTATAAAGTCAAGTTAAACCTGAATGTTCTTTTTAATATTTGGCACCTTAGAAATAAGTCCTTGTAATATCCGTACTGTGTTTTATAAAGATTGGGTACATTTCTTATATTGCTCAGGAATTTTTGAATTTTTATATTCTCCCTTAGGAATATTTTAATCGAGAAGTACCAGTGTAATTCTGTTCACAAGGCATATTGTATTAATATGGAATACTGTTATAATAAAGATGCTTTTGAATTAAGTTTTCTTTGAAAAATGGTGATTATAAAGGTGTAAATCAAGAAAGCATTTTCCATAGAAACAGGCTGGTTTAAAAGAAAGCAGGATCTGGGAATAGAAAAAGAACATTGTTGAAAAAATTGGTAAGATTCTAATCAGGTCTGTTTATTCTTATGGTATGGTGCCAATGGTAATTTCCTGGTTTTGATCATTATTGTGTGGTTATGTAAAATGTTTATTAGAATTAGGGAAAGCAAAGTGAGAGCTATACAGAAATTTCTCTGTACTATTTTTGAAACTTTTCTGTAAGTATAAATTAGTTCAAAATAGAAAAGATTTAGAAAAAGTAGGAAAAAGCCATTTTGTTCATGATTTTCCCAATGGGAAAGAAGTGAGGCACCTACTGTCAGCCCAACACTGTGCCAGGATTTTACATGTTAACCCATTTAATCTTTACAGTAACTCTGTGAATTAGGTGTTACTGTCCCCATTTTACAGCTGAGGAAATAGGCTAGAGAGATTAATTTACCTAAGTTGTTAAATGATGGAATCAAAGTCTGAACTAAGCTCCGATTCTTAAAAGCCATGTTCTTGTCCTTCTATTATATGTTGATATAAAGCCTTAGTTGATACAAATATTGGGCTATATCTGTATCTTATTTTTCTGCCCCTGTAATATGTATCAAAAACAAAATTTCAAAATATATACTCATAAAACAATTTTTAATGTTAAAATTCTTCCAAAAAGACAGTTGAAGTATTGTCACAAAACAGAACTAAATATAACAAAATATTACAATAGAGTTTCAGCTGTGATTTGATAGCAAATAAATGCTCTTAGCTTGCGTCTATGAAATTAACAAAAAAAGTTGTAAGTTTTGTTTTAGACCTTTAAGAACGCAAACTACTTTCCTTTAGTTTTGTAATTTGACCTCTTAAGCTTCCCTGTGAAATAAATTAGAACTGGGTTTTAGAGTAAATTCACTTTTGTAAGAAGGTTGCCAAATGTTTTTCTCTTTATAAGATAAAGATATTTTTGATAACATTTATTGAGCTCGTATTCTGTAGCAGATACTGTTCCAGTTGTCAAAGATACAACAGTGAACCAAACAGGCAACCTTGGCCTTATGTAACTTGCATTCAAATCGGGGAAGTAAATAAGTCAACTATATACTATGTTGGTGATACATGCTATGATGTAAAAGACAGCAAAGACAGGAAATAGGAAATGAGGAGGCTCACAAGGGTTGGGCAGGGGAGGGATTACAAGTTTAAATGTGATGTTCAAAGAGGGCTCATGGGAAAGATAACACTTAAGAGAAGGCCTGGAGGATATAATTGAGCAAGCCATGCAGATATCTGGGGAAAAAGCTCTCTGAACAGGAGCAGCAAGTGCAAAGGCCCTGAGGTGAAGCAAATGTGGTGTCTCTGTGGAACAGCAGGGGAGCCAGTGTAGCTGAACAGAATAAGTGAAGGGGGAGAGTTACAGGTGATGAAGTCAGAGTGCTAGTGGGTTTTTTTGAAGGGTAGTGGTGGTAAGCAGATCAGATAGGGCCTTGTAGGCTTTTTTAAGGACTTTGAAGTGTATTCTGAATCAGATGGAAGGCCGCCGAAGGAATTTGAACTGAAGTCCTGACTGATGTTTTAATGGTAGCATTCTGATTGCTGTGAATAAGGACTGTGGGGGCAAGGGCTGACACAGATCATTTTTTGGAAAGTAGTCATCGTATTGAAGTGGACATTTTATAGGATTTATTTCTACTTGTGTGTCTAGAGATAAACTGTATACTACTTTAGATTTATTTAACAGCAGCTAACTTGGAGGTGTTAGTATGTGCTAATTGTGTGATGTGGCTTTTGTCTCACTGTTCTGTTTATAGGCCTTCAATCAAGCAGGAGCAGGGCCGTACAGTGAACTTGTCCTTTGCCAGACACCAGCATCTGCCCCCGACCCTGTCTCTACTCTATGCATCCTGGAGGAGGAGCCCCTCAACGCCTACCCTGATTCACCTTCTGTGTGCCTTGTACTGAACTGGGAAGAGCCGTGCAATAACGGATCTGAAATCCTCGCTTACAACATTGATCTTGGAGATACTAGCATTACTGTGGGCAATACCACCACTTACCTTATGAAAGATCTCCTTCCAGAAACCACCTACCGGTGAGTGCAAGGAAGTAGAAATAAAGCTGCATCAACACAGTAGTACAAGGGTCTACAAGTTAATCCTCCAGGGGAAATCGACCACGTGAATGTCATGTCCCAGCTGTTTCTAAGAGAACAGATGTCCAGTGTTGTTTTGCCTTTGTCCCTCAGGCCAGAAGACCTATGAAAGAGCCACACTGGTTCAGTGACTCACTGGAAGGTTTTGTGTCCACTCTGACCCACACCCATCTCTACCCCAAAGTAGACTCAAATCCTCAGGTCAGCCCTGTAAATAAATGTTCAGGTTAGAAAGTATTATAAAAGGGCTTTGGGGGCAAGGTGTTAGCCTAGGAGTTTTGCTTCTTCCTGACGTTGTGCCTACCTTAGAGGTGGCTTAAATGATTGTAAAAATTTAAGATTTGTAGAAGAATGACATTGGAGGTGTGTTGACTTTTATTAAACAACGTATAGTCAAATGACATCTAAAAACAATCTAGAACTCAATGGCTCAAATAAAGGAACAGATTTTGGGAATCCTTGTTTAATAAGGAAATGTTAGTTATAGTTGAAATTATCAAAAAGATCTTCTACAAAAGTATGATTTAAAAACATGTTAGAAAGTACCTCAAATGATAATTCTGTTATAGAGAAGATGAAATGGTTTAGTTAATGTAGCAACTATGGAAAGATGAGCTTATATTTGGGTAGCAAAACCTCAAGAGTCTATTTAAAAATTATTTAATAGTTGTAACAAGTAATTTGATTTGTTTTGTTTGTTTGTTTGTTTTTGAGACAGAATCTCACTCTGTTTCCCTGGCTAGAGTGCAATGGTGTCAGCATAGCTCACAGCAACCTCAAACTCCTGGGTTCAGGCGATCCTCCTGCCTCAACCTCCTAAGTAGCTGGGACTACAGGTGTGAGTCAACACACCTAGCTAATTTTTTCTGTTTTTGGTAGAGATAGGGGTCTTGCTCTTGCTCAGGCTGGTCTCAAACTCCTGAGCTCAAGTGATCCTCCCACCTCAGCCTCCCAGAGTGCTAGGGGATTATAGGTGTGAGCCGCTGTACCCGGCCTTAATTCAGTATTAATATGTCTGCCAGGGCTAGTATATTGGGCTGAATGTGAAGAGAAAGTCACATTGGGAGGATGTCACCTTTTAACCTTTTAGGGTGGCTTGGAAGATACCATTTTAGACAGATTGCATGGAAATTAAATAGTTTAAGAAAAGACAAATATTTGGCCCTTGTTAGTGTGATCTTAGCCAAAAAGAAAAAAAAAAAAATTGGCCCAAGCCTTCATTGGCCAACTCAATAAATTATAAATTGGGCATTGCATATTTAAAATATTAAAATAATTTATATTTAAGACCAATCTTTGTACAGCTTAAGAATTTAGTTCTATAGTACACAAATGGGTACGATATAGTAGAACTCTGGTCAACCCACAATCTTGTTCTTTTAAGTTTCAAAAACATTATTGTAATAATTATAGTGAAACACAAAATGAATATTTCAGGGAGAGCTAAGGTTATAATTTTGGTCCAATCAACTTTTACCTCACCTTTTCTGTCCCCTAAATTGGTTAAAATATAAGTGAACAGATCATGATGTTGTAGTTAAAAAAAAGTGTGGAATGAAACATTTTAAGCAGGCCATTGAGCTTGAATAAAGGACGTATTTCTTTTGTTTGGTTTTTTTTTTTTTTTAATCCTTCACGTGTTACGTATTATTCTCACAGGGTTTATTCTTTCTCTGTGTTGCCAGGACAAGATTGTGCACCTCTCTAGTAAATCTACTGATACAAAAAGATGTTTTTCAGTGGATCTGTCATTTCTCCATTGGTGCTTGCAAAACTGTCCATTGGCTTACTGACACTCCCTGTAGAAATTTCATTGAAATTAAAATGCTGTTTTTAAAGGCATTACATTTAAGTTTATAACAGAGTTTGAAATTGAATTTGTGTTTTGGTTTGAAGGGAAAAAATATTATTAAAAATGGACACCTGACTTTCCTTTATATGCTTCTAGCCAAGGAGAGTCATAGACTTTGCAAGCTGAAAGATGGGTAGGATCACCTGGTGTCGCCCCTTCTTAGTCTCTGGCTTGAGCATCTTCAGTGACATGGGCAGTGGTTACATCTTCCACTCACCAGGCAGTTCATCCCCTTTGTGAACAGCTGTTTTTACAGTGTTTCTCTTATACTTTGTCAAAACCTCTCTATATCTAAAATTAGTTCAGTTGACTCTAGGACTGCCTCTGGAGCAGTGGTTCTCAATGTGTGGTACCTGGACCGGCAGTATTAGCATCACCTGGGAACTTGTTAAAATGCACATTATCAGGTCCCACCCCAGATGTACTTAATCAGAAATTCTAGGGAGAGGCCTAGCACTCTGTGATTTAATTAGCCTTCCAGGAGATTTGGATGCATCCTACAGTTTGAAAATCTCTGTCTTAGAGCGGTGATTCTTAAATGTCAATGTGTAAAAGAGTTGCCTGGAGAGCCTTTTCAAAATATAAGTATCTGAGCCCCACTCCTGTAGAGCAGGCCCCAGAGGGGGCCTAAACATCATTATCTTATAATGTCAGCTATCTCTTATTTAACTGTCCTCGCTGTCATTCAAATTGTTTTCACTAGCGTGGGTTTTCTATAACCTCCTCCATCATCTTTGGACAATTTCTGTTTCTTTATGGCCTCTCTGAGGTGTAGTGCCCAGACCTCCAGAAATGGTCTGGGTGGCAAGACTGTCACCTTCTTTGTTCTTCTTACTGAGCAGTTATTAAGGTGGCCTAAGGTTACTTTTTTTAACAGCCTCATTATATGTCTGACTCATACTGAGCTGGCAAACAACTAAAACTTACGGTAGATTTGTTTGTTATGCTCATTTATACTCTTCTTGCTTAGTAAAAAGGAGACAAAAATAACATTGAGCTCTTACTATATGTTAAGCACCATGTTAGGCTGCCAAGAAGTGAATCATAAATCATTTTTTCATAACAACATGAGATGAGCTTTACTAGGAGACAAGTTTCTAGTAGTCACAGACTTGAGTCAGTCTTGACTTCAATCCTGGGTCCCTCATATATTGTCTGTGACCTTTGGCAAGTTATTTAAGCTCTCTGTTCCTCAGTTTCCTATCTATAAAATGGAAATAATAATTTTAGCTACCTAATAGGGTGGTTGTATATTCTTGATAAGAGTTCAGGTGCCTAATATGGGGCCTGATACATAATAAATAAGTTATCTGTAAATTATCTGTTGTTAATATTTGGTAGGGAAGAAACGAGCTGGAAAATTGGTTGTAACCAGATTATAGGTCAACTTATCTGCCGAAACCTGGCATTATCCTTAAGCAATGGAAACATTTGAGGTTTTTTTCCCTGTCAAGGTAGGGCATGATTAAAGCAAGTGTAAGTGCCTGGAGACAGAATGGTAGCATTGTTATCAAACGAGCTGTCAGGGGAAGGAGCTTGATTGAAGGACATCTCTGACTCCCCCTTCAGGAAGCCTTCTCTGAATAACTTTACTCTGAGCACATCTTTTATCCCCAAAAGGGAGTTTATGTATGTAAGGTATTATGTCATACTTTAGAAGTCATCTGATGATTATTCTCTTCTTTCATATTTTTTCTTTCTTAATTAGATGATTAATTATACGGTAGCCTGGGGTAGGGGTAGGGGAGTTGTAAAAAGCCTGTCTTTTACTTCTTATGCCTTTTCTACCTTAACCCTTCACCTGGGGATCCCATCCTGAGTCTCCCTCACCCCTACACTCACTATATCCTGAGTGCTGGGATGGCTCATCGTGATGAGGGAGGTCATCTTCCTGGTTAAGGATGGTTTGTTTAAAAGTCATTCTCTTTTTAATATATTTGGTGTTGGAAATTGGATTGTGTGTATGCGTGTAAAGTGCACTGTAGAAGGCTGTGATCTTCTGCAGTAGAAATGTATTTGGCATCTAGAATTAGATATTGTAATAGAGGATTTTCAATCAAAATTTATAAAGAATATGCTTCTTAATTTGATTCATTTAATCAATATTATTAGGGTATTGATGGACGTTGTAGACTCCTGGAAACTTGAAGAGATTTTTCATATCAGCCTGGCCAAGATAGAGTTTGCTCGGGGTTACATCACTTCCCCAAATTGGAAAGCAAAATTCCATTGCCCGTGTATTTGATTTTGCAGAGCTTAAGATTTCAAAAACTGACATAATGCAAATTAAAAATACAAAACAAAAAGACCTGCAAATCTAAAGTTCAAGATTAACCCGTTACTTCAACTAAAGAGAAAACTTCTCAAATTTGGGTGTAGGATAGACTTTAATTAATTTAATAAAATAAGAAACTCAATTTGTATTTTCTGAGGTGGATTCTTGGAATTGTTCCTCAAGTTAATGTTTGTTTTTTTCATTAGTCCCATGTCACCTATCACTGGAATTAGGAAATTATTTTCACACACTGTGTTTTTCACCCTAGAACAAAGCAAACACTAACTGCCTTCGTTCTCATTCAGCTTTCTCAGCCTCGTGTGCTCAGAGTTCTTAATATTTTCCCCAGAATGCAACAAAAAATTGCCTCATTTCATCAATTCCTTAGTTCCGTTTCAATTTTGAGTGCTCCTTTATCATTAGAACTAATTAACGTTAGCTCAGTGCATCAGTTACACAGAAAAATGTATTTCATGCATTTTTCCTGAAACAAAATGTGTTTTTGTAAAAATGTAGGATGTTTTCAAATCTAGGTAGTTGATTTCAGGGCCAGTGCTGAAAAAGTGTTGAGTAAAGTGAAAATAAACTTGTTGACTTTTCTAAATTAAAAAAATGCAGTTGTTAAACTGAAAGTATAGTTTGGATTAAAATTATCTTTTGATTGTATTTGTAGCCACATTTAATCTAAGTCATGATAGGAGAGTATGATATGCCAGAACACACGAAGGCCTTTGAACCTACAGGGACCCAATTCACATCCAGATTTGACCTGTATCCAAAGTATAGATCAGTGCAAGTGACTGAACCTAGCTG